TCTTTCTTTCTTTCTTTCTTTCTTTCTTTTATTTATATAGAATTTATATTGAGAGCTTTATAGATAAAGTTTGATTTTAGGAATTATCTGTCTGTCCATCTGTCTCTTTTTCTCCCTGTCCAATTTCTACTAGTGCAAGGCCCGGCACATCCCTCCTTCTTCATTAACTACCTGCTCGCGTTCAACAAATTGTTCCATCCCCCTGGAACCAAGTGCTGCTCCTGATAACAATACAGAAATTTCTTGTTCAATTAGTTCAGTTCATTTATATAGTGCTGATTCCCACAGGGGAGCTGCCAGGAATTTGGGGCCCCATGAAAGACATTGATAATGATGCAAGCGTTACAACTCCTAGAACGATGCACTGAAGAGTATCAATTTGGAGTGCAATTTCAACGAAGAATTATCCTTACACGAAAGTTAAACATATATTAACTCTCAAAATAATAACAGCTTATTTAGAACAAAAATAGATCGATCTATGTATTATCTAAGAAAACAGGTTTTGGATTTTGAAAATATATTCATATTTGGTTTCTGTATAACTTTAAACAAAGTACAGATTATGTTTTGCTGGCCCTGAAAATTGATTTATAATTCATATATACCTATAATGACAATAGAATATATGCATTTATGGTGTAGCTGTTTCAGGCTGCTCATGACAAGGATCAAGATTTGTAGATACCTTTTAATGGCTATAATTCAATCGGAATATAAAAATCTAATTGTATTAACAGTGATTTTAATACAGGCTGCCAGAGGCTACCCAATACGTTGCTTCAGCTGTCCAGGATCCAGTACCAACAACTGCGGGACATTTAATTTTATAGTGACCATTATGTAGAAAAAAATTTGTTTAAATTTTTACATATTAAAAAAGTTTCATTTTACGTTTTTGAGCTGGAAAAAAGAGAGAAACTCCAACAGTCTCTGTAATGATGCTAACTAACATGTCCCAGGACACAATGTGGCTCACTGATGCTGGAAGGGGGCGGGGGTGTTGAAGTTATGGGGCTGCTGCTGCTGGATCATCTGTTTACATGATGAAGGGACAATGATAATGATAATTATTTAATATAAATATCCTTCTTAACGTTTACTAGCGCTTAGGGATTGTTAACCCTCTGAAGACTAAGGCTTATTCCTGCTGCCTTTGCTGGATTGTAAATGTAAGTTTTTAGCTCTGTGAGCTTTCTACTTAGCTTCTGCCTTAGTTACAGACACATAATAGGCTCATTACATTAGGCTGGATTAATTTTGTCAATTTTTTTTTTCTTGAAAAATAAAAATAAAACAAAATAAAAAAGACCTTGCAATAATTTTTTGTTTAAGTCAAAAGCAGTACCAGGCCAACCGGCATCATCAACGTCATTCTGCTCAAACTTTGGGAGGATTAACTAAGAAGCCGTAGCCAGCAGATAGCTAGCTATTTTTTCTCAACAGGTTAATAATCTAATTTGAACAAATCAAGTAACAACATTTCTTGAGAAAGTGGGTAATTGTATTGGATCAATTTCTCCGTCTCTGTCTTTCTCCTTTCTTTCTGTTGCTTTTGGAAAACCAGACTTTCATTTTTTGAGGCACTGCATTCTTCAACCGCAGACTGTTTTTACACACTGCTGCTTATTTACACATTTTCTTGTTCATTTGTTTTAATTGTTGTCTCTGTGTCAAATTATGTTCATGTGGCACTAAATCCCCAGTATGAGCAAACTGCTGCTGTCAGAGTGCATATGGGGGGATCTGATGCACCATGCAGGGCCTGAGGACCAAATCATTTCATGCAATTTGACAAGGAGGTGTTGAGTTGGTCATTATATTCGAGTTTTGTTTCGCTGTTTAATACTGAAAGATCAGGGAGAATACAAGTATAATTAATTTTACTGCGGGATTTCCTTTTTATATTTGAAATATCTAGTGGGAGTGTGGGACATATTTTCTTCTTCTTTTGCCCCCCTGGTCTTGGTACCATTGTTTATGAACAGATAATTAGTTTTCATCATGACAGTTTACTCTGTGTAACACTGAACAGAGGCTTTAGACAGAGCATACCTAGACAGTTTCTGAAATCCGCAAGTTCAATAGAAATACAAAGGTTGCTATAATGGGAATTAGTTACAGAGGGCAGAAGGTTAGGGCAGATTGTAAAGGCAAAAATGTTAATATGGATCAGGAGAGATAAGCAAACGTTATATTTATTTATCACAGGTTTTCTGTTATCTACGAAGCGTTAACCAAGCGTGAAATTAGTTTTTAATTCATGATGGTACTATAAAAGAAAAATATTGGCTCATATAGTTTTCTTACACCCTCCGTGCATCTTAAAATATTAGCTTTTTTGGGGATACAGACCAGTACAACCTACCGGTACATAAAAAAGCATCATTATACTTTTGTATTTTACAAAAAGAGATTTCATGATCTTTTAAGAATAAGTTTCTATGCTTCATGGAGGAGGGTCTCTTTGTCTCTGCAGTCATTAAGGAATCTTCCATCTAATTAAAGATAAATAACCACTGCTCAAAAAAGCACTAATGTGCAAATATTTGCATAGCTTTATTAGGAAGTTCCCCATAAAAAATTCAATTAATGTCTTTTATTTGGAAAATCTAGATTATTCAATAGGTTATTTTCCTCTTGGTTTATCAGTATAGATGTACCCTAAGTTGTTTTTTACCTAAGTACACTTTGTCGCTGCTTGGTCACCCCATTAAAATGTTCTTGAACTGCCACTGGTCATGATTAGTCCCTCTTTTGTTTCTGATCTGATCTGGTTGAATTTTCTCTGTAAAGTGCCTTGAGTTGACATGTATTGTGAATTGGCGCTATATAAAAAAACTGAATTGAATTGACACCATCCTGGAGGGAGGCACTAGTTTGGATGTTGCCGACAACAACTGCCTTTTCAGATGATAGAGTCGGGCCTATATTTTAGTGTTTAGTCCAGTTTCTCTCCAAGGGCTCAGCTTTTACTGTGTAAGTGCACTCTTTTATCCATTTGATCCCATTGAAATAAGCTTATAGCTTATCTGACTATATGTTTCTTTCCTAGACAGACCCCCCTGTGGAGCTAATTTACAGTAACCTTCTCTAAGACAGGAAGTATTTGCAGATGACAGCTTACAGTATATGTTCCATTTGTGTCAGTTTTTATCTCCTTGAACTCTGTTGGCCTTGACAAAAGGTCACTCACAGTGAGCCTGGTTCTGCTGAAGATTTTCTCAAGTTAAAAGGAGATTTTTTTGCTCTACACTCACTGCATGCATGTTCAGTGTGAAGGATTGATGCAAAGTCAATGATACAATGCAGGCAGAATTTTGTTGTCTGTCGACATGCTCTTCAAAGAGGAGCAAATCCTGCGAAATGCTAGGCTCACAATAAACACAGGGAAGTGCTGTGTAGTTTTGCTGCAGACAAGCTGCAGAAAATCACTCACACTTAATGGGCAACCCTGAGGTGAGTTCCAGCTCCAGAGTAATAAGAGTTAATTTGAGGTTCACACTTTTCATGCGCTGTCAGGCAGAACTCGTCATCAGTGCACATATATATCACTTTTCATTGTTCGATAGCCTCTCTGTTTCTCTTTTGTCTTTCTATTCTTGCTACCATTCTTCTTCTTGTAGTGCTTTATGGCAGTTGGCAAACTAGTTAAAGTGCTTTACCACCAACAACTAATAAGGGGTCAAACAAGGAAACAGGAAACAAGACTCACCCCAAGATAAAAAATAAATAAACAAAAATAAGTAAATAAGTTTTAATTTTTCCAAACTGTTTCATTTAACTCAACATAATAAATATTAAATACTTAATCAAATTCGTCCTCATAATATCTAATTATGTTTATGTTATAGTCACTCAGTTTCTGATGGTCCTACTCGTTTTTCCATCATGCTTTCAATCGTTTCCCAGTTTAAATCTCTAACTTCAAGGTACCTTTTTGCAGCTTTCACTATTATTTTGATTCTTTCAGTTTTCTTTGTAGTCTGAGCACTACAACTGATAACTTCTACTATGAAAAGTACAAAATCATTGTTTTTT